TATGGAGTTTGCCTAGGCCCTTATCAATTAAAAAATTCCATGTCATACTACGCTGAACATAAGGCAGAAAAATATTTTTAGAACAGAAATTCAATCCTAATGCAAGACATAGAACCGCAGGCTTGAATTTTTTTAAGTATGGCATTAACGCTATGGATCTAGTGCTCGTGAAAGCACATATAAAATCCTGCTATAAAAGTGAAAAAAGCCATTATGGATTTGTACTTGTTGATCGAGCTAAGAGAAGTAGACTGGCTATCGTCAAAAATTTTTGCACATGTGAAAGTGGTTCTTGGAGAGTTGGATGCTGCAGCCACATAGCTACTATTATATGGTACTTGGTATACGGTTAATATAATGTCATAAAGGTTCCTAACCATGATATATTGAATGTCTCTATAACTATAAAATAATGAAGCTTTGTAGCTAATGACGTTAAAACAATATTTTGTTCTGATTGTTTCCAACTGAACTTATTGATAAAGCATATTGAATTTTGCACACCTAACTTCAGATGTGTGATCAGTGACTATCAAAACTTATCTGGAGGTGATTTCAGAGTTTTATTACTATTCATTCAGATTTGACCTTTTAATGACCTTGAACCACCGTTAAGAAGGTCATCTGACCTCGGATTTAGAATCAACTATCCAAGAAACATAATAATTAAGTTGTTTGGTAAGCTAAACAAAAACACTTTTTATTCTGTGAGACTCACTGTACGGCTGTGTTGCCGTACTTATCGTTAATCATTTGTAGCGTAACTGTAATGTCATTCGTTGCTGATTAGACTTTATCAGCAACCTGCTGTCGCTTTACTCCGAGCCTCGTGACACTCTCTTCTAAAGAGGCAAGCTCTTCCTGGGTCTGGTGGCTAAATACCGACAAGTTGCTGTTCTCGGTGTCGTTAGTGCCTATACTCGACAGGCTTCCTCTTCATCCTTTGTCAGTAAAAAAAGGCCATGGAACATTAAGCAGTCCCTGTTGGCCATGAGACACGTTTTTAAGGCCACCTCCCCCAAAATCTGTGGGGCCTGCGTCAGTCACCCGGGCTTTTACCGGATCGGAACTGCCGGCGGATTCCCTCAGAGAGGTTACCGCCTGGGGTACTTCTGTTACATCGACGTTTTTCATTTTAGCATCTTTTTAGTGTCGTACTGACCCGCGAAGGCCAGCACTACCCTTTTTTTCTAGAAATAAGTATTTGGGAAGGGTTAAAACCAGGGCAGCAGCCCTCTCTGTTACCAGAGAAAACCGCTACTTGCTCGGGCCGGCCGGGAGTCGCCACTCTCCCTCAGTCCCACCCGCGGAGACTGCCCTGGCATTGAGTAACAAGTGTAAGAATGGTGTTTGTGTGTAATGAATGTATTTGTTGGTACACAACGGTCATCTCAGCGAGACGAGGTGCAGGTGTACAGTCCCGAGACCACGCAGACAACCCAACAAAACGGGCTGGCGTAAGGCACTAAGGTGCCGCCATATAGCCTCCTCAGTGGTAGTAAGCCTAGATTAGTCGGCGCACCACATATTTTTTGTTCATGAGGCGTACAACCATATCAGATGTGGTTACCCATACTTACCAGGGCCTCATTATCCGGCTTTACCCGCCACCAGGCCTCCAACGCAAGCCCGGAAAAGGACCCGCCAAACGCAACCCAGAACAATCCGTAAGTGTCCCTGTGATTGTTTAGTAAAAGTGTGTGTGTGTGAGTTGTAGTAGTAGTAGTAGTTGTAGTAGTAGTAGTAGTTTTTTTTTTTTTTTTGTGGAGGGAGGGGAAATGCATTGAGGCACACCGCAGGGACAGCGGTAGTGTAGGACTCGGTGGATTTTTTTTATTAGACCACCCATACCGACTAAAACCTCCCCCCATGCCGCGTGGCTTTTGATCTACCCTGGAACCGCGTGAGCATTACTTCAGGGTGGAGCCACCAGGAAGACCATCGCGTCTCACAGCATCAACGAGCTAACTCGCCACCATTTGCTAGAGGTGCTGATGCTCTCGAGTCCTAAAAAGGACTCGGGGTCCCTAAGGACCAGCACCTTGTGAAAATTTGACAAGGACTGAGGTGGTCACGGTCTCAGAAAGATTAATGGAGTTATTTACGAGTGCAGAATGTGCAGAATTGGTATTTTACCTGTTAACGATTATACATTGTACGTTAACTGGAATTATAATACAAAGGCCGAGACGTCTTTACCATCAAGTAACGTTGTGGTTGCCATTTTTGTGATAGCACAAGCACGCTTAAAGCATTTCGAGTATCTGCATTCTCTAGGAGAACGTGCTCTTTATCACGACACCGATTCCGTTTTTTATGTTTCCCGAGAAGAACTGGACGACATATCCATTGGCACAATACTAGACAATCTTGCTGACGAATGGGCTGACAAAGAAATTGGCACATACATTTCTTCGTTTTTATCCAGTGGACCAAAGTTTTACGCATATAAGATTAAAAAACCCGACGGTAGTAAAGATTATGTTTGCAAAGTGAAAGGTATAAAATTAAATTACAGCCATACTGAAAAGATGAACTCTGATACGATTCGTGAGCTTGTTATGACTAATATTACGGAAATTAAATTGTTGAATTTTTCTATTCGTCGCACAATTTTTCACGATGTAGTGACTCAACCGTAAATAAGAACATGTCAACCAGTCGACAGTAAAAGATATTTTGACAGCATGACCACAAAATATCCGTATGGTTACCAACGTGATATCGCAGGAAAAGGGATATAATACATCAGAGTAGGGAAAAACACTCACTCGGTCGAGGTGCGACAAAGCTGTTGGTTAGTTCATTTCCCTTTTTACAGCCGATGCATTAACAAGTCAATAACAAGATGGGTTCGAAAGATAGCGAAGCAACCGCTACATCAACGAGCTCTAAGAACGATAATGATGATGATTGTTGAAAGCTGCTTATAGAAAAATCATATTAAAAAAAAAAAAGTAAAATATACGTTTCCCAAGATAATATTTTAAACAAAAAAAAAATGGATACTGAGTCATGAAAAATGGTTAACCCAATTGCAAAATCGGTCCTTTTCAGGACCAACATATTACTCATTTATACTGGGTAAAAATGTAATTGATTACCTGATACTTACGTCGGTGTTGCGTTGGATGTTTAATAAAATACGATACATATTTCAAAAAAGATGACATCAGCACATTCTTCACTACGAAACTTAAACCATGAATACAAGAATCATCCTTACGTACCAATGTATTTAATCACCTTATACTCATGTCAGCGCATTCTGGAAACCGTTGCGACGAATGTTTAATAAAATTTGATACATATTTTGAAAAATGTTACGTCAGCACATTATTTATCACGAATCTTTAACCTTGAGAAAAAAAAAATCATTTTAATGTCAGTTACTCGTGTGACTTTAACCTCAAAACTGCCACGAATAAGAAGGAAATTTTGTAACAAGGTAATCTTGACCATGCGCAAAAAGTGCTCTAACCGCCGCGACGTTACAAGCCGATTGGTCGCCATCCATGAGCGATGGTGGGGTACGACGGTGGCGGCGGCGGCAGTAGCAAAAAGAGCTTGATTGCCAGTTGACTCCGACAAAACGAGCTGATTGGTCGCGTGAGCCCCCTTAGCGCTAGCCTTCCAAAAGCGCTTGCGGTTTTGCGAGCGGTCTGCGGAGGCTCCCACCGCGGTCAATCAGCTTTTCGACAGAGTTTAGTTTGGCAGTATGGATACGCGGTGGCAACAACCGTAGACGTGTACACTGAGTGGACCCACAGGTTGCGGCAAAATCGTGTTTGTCAGACTGTTTTTACGACACATTGACTGTATAAGTGATACTCGATTCGAGCGGGTCATTTTTGTTACGGTGAGTGGCAGTCTGGTTACCTCGGCGATCAATATTGAGTTTCACGAGAGATCACCACAAAATAGCAATTGGGCAGGTGATCATAGATCGAAACTGGTCATTATTGACGATTTGATGTGCGAATCATCTGGTAGTAGCGGTATCGTCGACTTATTTACTAAAGGTAGTCATCATAACAATTGGAGCGTAATTTTTATCACGCAAAATATATTTCATCAAGGTAAGAGTCAACGTGATATATCGCTTAACTTGCAATACGTTGTCATTCTTAGAAATTTATGAGATCGCGCGCAAATACAACATCTTTCGAGACAAGTGTATCCGGAAAGTCCTCGGTTCTTGCAAGAAGCGTATTTGGATGCTACTTCCCAACCATTTGGTTACCTTTTCTTGGATCACAAGCAAAATACACCGGACAATTATCGATTTTAGACTTGTATTTGTTCGGATGACGAGTATCTGTACGTATATGTGTCTAAAAAACAGATGAAAGGAAGCGACACGGCGAACCAAGTTCCAATCGTATTGTCGTAATGGCACCAAAGTTACGTTCCCCGTTTGGTCGAAAACACGTCACCGTTTTGAGAGCTCTTTATCATCTTGACACCGGACAACAGAGAGATCCATTGTGCAAAGCAGATAAGACGCTTATCAAGTACATTTGAAAGTGTGCATTCAACATTCTCAAAGGAAACGTTTCGCTAACTGTGGCGCACAAAAAACGCTTGCGTAGACAAGCCAGCGTTCTCAGAAAGCTCGAAAACGTAAAAATTGATCCGTCGTCAAAGAAAAAAATCATTGTACAACCGGGAGGAAGTTTCTTACCTGCTTGGTTGGGTCTGCTCCTTGAAACGGTGTTGTCGATGCTGTAAAAAACATGGAGCACGCAAGAAAAATGATTCTTTTGCTTCAAGAAAGCGTGGATCAATTGCGAAGCGCATTCCTTAACGATGGTCTAAAGTCTGTGCAAACGCCGGGTACAACAATGAGTCGGCTTGACGTAGAAATGAACAACATCTTGAGTTTACCGTACAATGATGAGTGAGAAAAATGGAAGAAATACCAACAAATTTTACAACAATATTTGCACCGTAGGGAAGTGGAAAGCGAAAGAAAATGACATGCTGACACGATCACAAAGAACACCAAGGTATCCCAAGATAATGATCCCTCTGACGACGACATCGACGAGGACGAAGAAAAGCGTAAAGATGAGAAAAAGCTGGATACCGAAGTAATTGAAAGCGTACCCAAAAAGTTTCGTCAAAAAACTGCACTTATTATACAACGACTGCGCACTTCAGGTAACTTTGAGTGGAGCAATGAACATACCGTCATCATAGGTGGCGGTCTCATACCACAGTCGAACATTGTCGATCTGGTAAACAATGCCTTGAAGAACAGGAAAAAACGCACACCAGTGGGGTGGCTACTTCGTATAGCAAACATTTCGCAAGAGTGTGTTAGAAACGCTCAAGTATTAAAATGACTGATCGACTACGATGAAGACGACGACGACGATGATAAATCAAAATCGCCAAATAAGAGTCCAAGATCTATATCGAATAGAGGAAGTTTTCTTGATGGAAGTGGTACTGAATCAACGACGTCATCGATAAATAGAAAAAAATATAAAAAAGTGGTACCTTCTCGAATCAAGTACAAACGCGGCGTTGGTTGAGCGGAAAAGTGACCAAGGCAAAGAAAAAGAAGTAAAACTCGAGTAGGAGAAAAAAAATAGTGCTCTCGGCGCTCTAATCGATTTGCTACCGTTTGAGATACATGTACCTGGATACAAATTTTGCGGTTCTGGAACAAAGCTATCGAAGCGTATTGAGCACGATAATGTGAGTATAAATCCCTTGAACAAAGCATGTCGTCAGCACAATCTTGCCTACGCTATGGAGAGTAAGGTCCAACGTCTAAAAGCCGATCGGGCATTGGCTGAATTTGCTTTTTCGCGTATGATTGCCGGAGAAACACCACCGGATGAGCAAACAGTCTCTTTATTGACAGCATGCTGTATGTGTAGCAAGATTAGATTTGAAAAGTTTTTTTTGCGCATCAAGAGAGCAATTGGACCTAAGTCTAAAAAGAAGAAGAAAAAAAAGAATGATGCATAAGACTTTGCAAAAACTTTATTACGAAGCGGCGTGCACAACTGCATACTCTGGTGGTAACAAACTTGTAAGTGCTATAAAAAGTAAATTTTTGTGATCGAACGTTATTAGTTGGCTAAAGAGTCAAGATACCTATAACTTAAATAGGCCTATAAGAAATCGCTTACCCAGAAGAAGCTATAACGTGCGTAACTTTGACGACGTGTGGGAAGCTGATTTAACGGACTTGAGAACCTTAAAAACTGACAATGATGGCTACGCGGTGTCAAAGCATTTCAACATATTTTATCAAGATGTGACGATCGTACACCATTGTGTCTCTGAACGGATAAAGGTAAAGAATTTGTAGGTCGTGAAATGCAATCCGTTTTACAAGAAAATGAAATTAAATACAGAGTAGCACGTAGCTCACAGACAAAGGCTGCAATTGCCGAACATTTCATAAGAACTATTAAAGAAAGAATGTGGCAATACCTTACGCACACAAACAATCGACGCTTTGTAGACATTCTTCCAAGTATAATAGAGTCATACGGTCGCACGAAGTATTCGTCAATAAAGATGGTTCCAGCTGACGTGACCTTGCACAATGTTGCACGAGCACAAGAAAACATAAAGCAACGTTATGACAGACATATTTATAGAAATCCAAAATACAACATTGGAAATTTAGTTCGTATCAGTAAGACGAGAAGTGTCTTTGCCGAATGTTATAAAAGCGGTTGGACTTTAGAGTTGTTTAGAATTGTACGTATCTCTTGCACGCGACAACCTCCAGTTTATTTTCTCAGAGATTTGGCTGATGAAGACATTGACGGTTTCTTTTACGAGGAAGAGTTAAGCAGAGTGTGAAAGGAATTGAACGAGAGCTTCTTTGAAGTTGACAAGATATTGAAATTCGAGGTAAAGGACGCTTTAAAGAATATTTTGTCAGCTGAAAGGAATATCCTGAAAAATTTAAATCCTGGGTGACAGGAATTTATTTAAAAGATATAAAATGGAAGACGAATTTCACGTTGTGTTTTCTAGCAACAGTAGCATGCAGTATGATCCTGATAATACTACTACGCACTACTTGACAAGATTACCTCAGCAAATTAGTTTGCAAGGTCAATAGAGTGTTGGTATAACAGAGATTCAGTTATCATCGACGTTTCAACATGCGATAAAAAATAAGGAAACAAAAATTACCGTAAAACGTATATCACGACTACACAATAATGTACACAGAGAACGTTTTGTGATTCATGCATACTATTACATACGATCCGGTCCATACAAAAATATCAAAAAAATGATACCAAAAATCAATAGTTTCGATACCACACGAGATCACGTGATCTTCAGTTTGGAAAGAGGTGGTTACGTAGTGTCTAAGTTAGTACGTTCCAAAACAGCGCGCAGTGAATACATGTATCACTTACTATTGTCCAAAAAATTACGTAAGATTTTAGGCTTTGAAAGTGCAACGAGTCATTTTTGGAAAATAATGAAATTCGATCCATTCATCCAGCAAATCTTGCCAATACTTTACCGTTAATGTTCATAATTTACAGCGACATCTGTGAACCATACATTGTAGGAGACGTTCAATCGCGTTTCTTGCGGGCGGTGTCGTTGGACCTTCAAGGTTACGCGTACGGTTGTGTCAAAAATAAAATTTTCTCACCGTCTGTGTACATACCATTATTGTTTAACTCCTTTCACAACATCGAAATCGATATAAGGGACCCGATTGGTGCCCCCATACCATACGACTTTGGGACACTGATGGTGACGCTTCACTTTACACGAATCGATTAAAAATTATGGATCCCTACGAGGATTACTTTATTTCACAAAGTGGTAGTGGTGGTGGTGGTGGAAGTCTGATTACAATTCATGGAAATAGTGGAGGAAGTGTGGGGTGCATTTACGTTGAGACCCCCTATCAACGAGGGCACGGAGATATGAGATCGTTTCTTGCTGAAGTATTCCGACGAGTTTTACCACTCATTAAACAAGGTGTCAAAGCTCTTGGCAAAGAAGCTGTTCGTGTAGGTATGAACATTATGTCTCACGTCACCGTTAAAAATATACCTTTAAAAGAGACATTCCGCACTCGTGTGTTGGAGTTTGGTAATGCGCTGAAGAGAAAAGCCAAGAAAAAATTGGAAAAGCTTATGGAACGTTCAGGATATAAACTTTGACGACTTGACAAACCATTTCAGTTGCAATTGCTTCGTAGAACTGTGCAGTGAAGGCGTGGTCAGTGTAAGAGTAAAAAAAAAAAACTAAGAAAACGCGTTAGCAAGATAAAGAGAAGAAAAAGAAAACAATAAAAAGAAAAAAGAAGAAGGGACAGAGAACTGCAAGAAATATTTTTGAAAGTTAAATTTTTTGAAAATGGCTTTTTTAGACAGTTACTCATGCGAGTGCTTAAAATCTGAGCTTCTTTTGTTTGACACTCCACTGACCCAAACAACTATCGAGGGATCGCACTGGATTCGATACAAGCAAATACCATCGCTCACGGATAATTCACCGATCGAATTTGTCGTACCAAGTATGGTGACGAGTACATCGATCTTGCACACATGATACTCAGTCTTCGTGTTAAGTTGGCCGTCAATAAAGATGAAGAATTAAATACTGACGTAACATCTAAAATCTCAAAGATGGGACCAATCAACAATTCTATGCATTCGTTGTTCAATCAAGTCAATGTGTTTTTCAATCAGAAATCTGTATCGCCTCCTAACAACGCGTATGCTTACAGAGCGTATTTGGAAACTTTATTGAACTGCGGTCCTGCCGCAAAATCATCCCATTTAACGAGTGCATTATGGTGCGATGATACGACGACAAAGATGGACGATGTGTTGAATGCCAACGCGGGACTCATCAAGCGACGCGACGTACACTACTACCCGCAAAGAAATCGGTTGATCTGATTGGTCATCTTCATTGCGATGTATCGAATCAAGAAAAATTACTCATCAATGGCGTTGAGGTAAGAATGTGATAAGTACGATCTCGCGATGCATTTTGACACATAGACACTTCAAACTTGGTTTCCGTTCGTATAAAAGGAGCAAATTTTTTAGTGAGACGCGTTAAATTAAGCCCATCTGTTTTATTAGCCTATACTAAAGCTCTGTCAAAGAGTACAGCAAAATATCCGCTCACGCGTGTCGAAGTGAAAGCTGTGACGATGCATAGTGGTATTCATAGCGAAACTTTAGATAATATTGTTTTGGGCCAGTTACCTAAGCGGATAATCATCGGTTTTGTTAAAAATCAAGCTTATAATGGCGATCGTACTATGAATCCGTTTAATTTTCATCATTTCAATAAAAATTTTCCTTGTTTGTACATTGATGGTGTTTGAGTTCCTTCCAAACCATTACAGCCGAACTTTAAAATGCATAATTTGTATATAGATGCTTATCATACCTTGTTTTTGGGCACGGGCGTTCACTTTCTCATTGAAGGAAACCACATTGATCGCGAATCTTATCCCAACGGTTACTGTCTCTTTGTTTTCGATTCAACACCGGATTTATCAGCAAACGAATGTTCTCATTGAAACCTAATTAAACACGGCAGTGTTCGATTGGACGTTCGATTTGCCGATGCTCTAACTTCGACTGTTAATAGTATAGTGTATGCCGAGTACGAGAATATTCTCGAATTCGATGCGTCATGTCAAATCATGGTCGATTTTAGCGGTAAGATGGCGCTACTAACATATATTATACTTACACTCACTACTCGGACACGCCAATCGTCTCTCGGATTAGTTGCTGCTGGTACGCTCAATTATCTATAAATCGCAACGGAGCTCGTAGTTGACATTCAGTATTTCAAGGTGAAAAAAGACGTAACGGTGCCAAAAGAAGTTGCTATCGTTGCTTTCAACAATGACTTTTTCGCACATTGGGTAGTGACACTTCCTTGTCACTTGCAAAGATTGAGTAAGGTGGCGCAATGACAAAACATTTGGTTGTCCCGACATCATCATGGACTTAATTTCTTTGAGGGTGAAGTACCTTCAAAAGCAATTTTTAAAATTTTAAATGATATTAGAAGAAGTGCAAGAAAAATTTATGTCAGAGGTTGCGGAAAGTGGCACGATTTACATAAAATAGCTCTTCGTCAAGTAATAAATTTAGAATACGATATTGACTGTCCGCCCTTAAAAGATTTATCATCGGTTGTGTATTTTATGCATCACGCATTAAAACCAAATCATCAAAAATATCGGTGTGCCTTAAATAACGCTCATAAACTGAAATCTTGGCTCTGCGAACGTAATGGACAGCCTACAGATACTGCTGATCCTGTCGCAAATCACGCATACCACCGATGTGTTCCTAGCCGATCAAACCCCACGCGTGTGGACCAAACCGACAGCACTCGTCATTAAGACTGATGATCACACAAAACCAGATGTGCATTGGGTCGCTATTTACGTTGATGCACATTTCAATGGTTAATATTTTGATAGCTATGGTATTTAAGTTTATGTACCGGAGCACATTAATCGATTTCGTAAAAATTGTAAGAAACTGCGTTGGAATATCTAACAGTTACAAAGCATATCTTTAAATGTATGTGGTCAGTTTTGTTAGATGTTTTTGTTTTACATGAGCAACGGCTTGGGTTTTAAAAATTTTTCGACAACTTTTCCGCTGATTTAAAAAAGAATGACAAAATTACCAGACGTCTTATGTCATTGATATGTAGCAAAAGTAAATTCGAGAAGCTCGGTGTCGGGTGTCAGCAGATGTCTGGTAAAATTTTTACAAAATAGTTGCAGTAAAATGTCTTTGATATAACTTTATCCATGAATGTACTTATAGTTTGCGCATTCTTGAACGTTTAGTGACAGATACTAATGTTACATTATTGTGAATTCTAAAAATAAACGATGTCAGCGTTTTGCGATCCTACATCTTAATGTTTATAGATTGTAAAAAATTGCATACGTAGCGTTTCTTTATCAGTGCGCGATACACGATTATACTTGTTTTAATTAACGTTATCCTGAATGTTCTGTCGACGCTATTTTTCATGCTGAAACGTGACTTAACCCCTCCAAACGTTTTTCACTCTGTCTCTTTTGAGCTACAACAAGTATAAAAAAGTCAGATTATTCGTTAGTTTCTGCCTTCTCGTCATATAGTCAGTATAATTAAACAGAAAAATGGAGTTCCAGAGAAAGAGGGTTGGGGCGTCGGTAGCAATCGATCCCTCAAGCGTAAAGCAACATCAACAGTCGCCTCCGCAGATTTTTTGCAAACTTTCTGGGTTGAATAAATCGTTTGGCAAAAAAGTCGTAGTTGGTCTGGAACTTGCAAAACATCAAAATTTATGGCTCCAACTGGTCTCTTAAGTTTACTGTAAGTTATAATGACAAGGCTATTGAGCTTAAAAAAGAATGAAAACAAGGTGTGAGTAGTAGTGTTGCGAAGCAATATCATCGTTGTTTAGTTCTAAAAAAGGTGAACTTTGATCATTTAAGCGAATGTATTGTCAAATGTATTGATTGTAATTTACGTGCGTTCAGTGATTTGTCGGATTTGATGCCTACTGTTGTGCAGAAATTTGTAGATTATATTTCAGAAAAAGGTAGTAATATGTAGGAAGCGGAAATTGATTACTATAGACCTGATATTGTAAAGAAAATTGTAAGAGATATGAATGATTCAGATTTAGAGAGTATATGAAAAAGTCGTGTCAATAGATAAGACGAAATGCGAATATTTAACAAAAGAATGGGTATGCGATTTTATAAATAATATTGCGTTATTTTATACATTTGGACTTGTAGAGACTTTGAATTCTAAAATAAATAAATAAACGTATGTACCTTTGTTGTTACTGACCAAAAATTCACACCACATCCTTATAAATCACATTTTATTTTGATTTCATGAAAAAAATTATAAAATATTTTGTACCCTTTATATTGGAGAAACCTATTAATATTATAAAAAGAACACCCATACTCAATGAGAGGGAGAAATTTTAACCTCTCTAGATTCAAAAGTGGGGAAGCCTTCTCTCCATGCTTAAAGTTTGGAGGGGGACCTAACCGTGGTGGGGTCATGTTCCCCACCTCGCATGCCACGTCTTTGCTCATCATGGAAAGTTCCTACGTAGGTGGTGGGGGCTTGTTGTGAGGGGCCAAAGTGTTGCAACAACTACTGATAATGATCCTTGAAAATCAGTAGAATCTTAGTCTTATAGTGCAATAATGCACAAAAGACGAATTAAAATTCTGCCAACTTTTTCGATCACTACTACGCGCAAATTGATTTGTTGAAACTGTTCAAAGTAAACAAATTTTTTTATTTTTTGAAGACGTCTACGTTATGAGAGTAATAATCTTTCATTCGTTACTAAAGTTGCATGGGTTGGTTCAGAGTTAGAAAAAAAAACTTCAAAGGAAAAAAAAGACAAAAAGTATATTTCAGTAATATCAGGTTGAAGAAATGAACCTAAATTTAAGTTCTAACTACGAAGAGGGGGTGTATAGAAAAAGTACAAGAATATCTGTGTATAAATATTCTCTTCAGTTATGTAGTTCTAAAAATTTTATATTTGTTCAAATAAATCCAGTATTTTATCACTAAATGCCGTATAACTTTCTTAAGATACTTTTTGGTTTAGAACAACTGCTATATTTTTACTTGCTTTTAATTTTTTTTAAATAATTGAATTTTGTGACAATGATTACGCAAAATTTAAGTATTTTCATTAAATTTTGACTCTATTTCTACTCTGAAGCGCCAGAACACTGAACATCAACTGCAACGCAAATGTACACAAAGGTATATCCATATAAACAAAGAAACACGAAAATTCTTTTATATTTACCTACCTCACTGACAACGCTTAATGGTAGAAGACGATGTGAGTGTATGTGTGGGCACAAACACACAACATATACTATCACTCAATACAAGAAAAAACACACAAATGCATTTGAACATGAGTCCTACTGGAAAACTTATGCCTAAGCGATGAAGATTATAATAAAAATCACGTGCATGTATGTAAGGATGTGCTGAACTCCCTACTAATCGGCTTCAAAGAACAATATTAAATATATTAGACAAATGTCTCTTGTACCTCTGCAGCTGTTAAACAAAACAGTCTAAAAAATTCATGAGTGTTAAGAAAACAGTTTTTTGTCTTAAAAATAAAAGATCCTTCCTAGGAAAAAAGTTAACGACAAAGCCGTACATAATGAAAAATCATTGAATTACGGATTGATCATATACTTTCTAAGAAATTGAAAAATACCATCGAAAATTTTGGTTTTTATTCTTAATGAATTTCTTTTAATCGTTAAGCAAATCACTTCATACTCAGTAAACAAGACATTATTGTTCAGTGCGTCAAAGAATTTTTTTAAAATTAAAAACGACTAAAAATAATATAGTTTATAGGGAAATTATGAAAAAAAAGATTTTAAAATAAATTGATCATTGTCCAGTTTAGACAAGGCTTATAGAATTTACATCACATTCTCAGGATTTCGTTTTTGTGATATGATTTTATAGGTATAAAGAACACATATAAAGAACAAGAAAGTTTTTTCTGCATACACACGTAGATAAAAATTAATAATTCAAACAGAAGCTAGAAAAAAATGATTGTTAATTATTTTTACTTAATTTCAGTATCAACCTACAAAATTATATTACAAAAACGAAATCCTAAGAATATGAGATAAGTCTCTGAATGGATCCCATAGGGCTGGCCTAAGCAGGGAAATAGTCTATTTGGAAAATGTATTTTTTCACTCCAATTTAAATTATTTTTAACAATAAATCTTTTTTTTATTTTCAATAATATGTACAACTAATCCTGATCCAACAAGTCTTGTTCGATATATTTTTTTATTACATCAAGAAACCGTATTTTAAACTTTTATAAATTGTGTAGATTAAGTAAGACCCTACATTTTTGAGGACGTTCAAAGCGCTGTAAGGAAAAAAAGGATTAAATAGTAGACGTCGTTATACAAAGAATATTACAACTCTGGTATAGTAATTTCTAAAATTTGATACAGTACAACACAATGCCATACAATAGTTTAAAGATCATTAGCACTTTTTGAACAGTTAAATATTTGTTTGTAAGCTTTACGAAATCGAGTACTCATTAAATTGTAAAGTAAAGGATTAATTGCAGTGTTTAAATAATAAAAACACCCGCTGAATAAATATAACCATTCATTCATGTCAGGATAGTAATCTGTATCTTGTCCATAAATATAAAGTAATCTCTGGATGTGGAATGGTGCCCAACATATCATAAAAGTAAGTACGACTGAACCTGTAAAATAATTATCTTTACTTATATAAATGTAGCTCAAATAATTACTAAAAAATTTAATAACAATAGTACATAAAAATAAAAATTTTAACTATAGAAAAAGAACTTATACTAATAAAACTTTTTAATAAATCTCAGAAGGTTATGATTTCTAAGAACTATGATAATTTATGAGTAGCTCACAGTAGATGTCATACAAAATATTATATGATTTAGACTGGTGCAGATGTACCCCAATTGATAAAATTATAATTTTTTGAACTCAAGTGATGCCATTTCTTACCCTTACAAAGCCTGAAATTCCTTATAAAAAACTTTATTTACAAGATTCATGAAATATAAATAGTTGGCGAAAGAACAGGAAGAAAAAATATTGCCATTGTAATTGTTAAAAAATGTAACCTTACTGAAAAAATGGCTCGTAAAAATGGAAAACACGATTCTTACGGTAAAAGCCTACGAAAAAATGTAAGAATATGTAGATTTTTAAAAGAAAAAACATCAAAAAGCTGTCACTCCCGATCATGTAATAATACCTCTATTCTCGATACCCGTTGTCTGGCAAAAAATAGAACAGACTACGTGAAAGTAAAAATTTCTGCAGTACGTAAAAACTCCATGACTTCATTGCTTTAAAATATGTACATATATAAATAAGATTTTAGTCTAATAATGAAGACCAAGTAATTAAAAAATCATAAAATGAAGATACTACAGTGAAATGTTCTTTTTAGGGCGATTAGCGATCACAATAGTATTCTCATAACTACTGTAACTGTATCGAAAATTGTCATCCTTAAAATGACTTATTTCAAGCAGTAAATTATTCATGAAGCAAGGGTGTCATTTATACCTAGCAGAAATAACTAGAATTAGATCAAATTTATTTTAATAGTAATCGTAGACATTCTTAATATTATTAAAATTAAAAGCTTTTATTTAGTGAATAGTATTTATGACCTTTACTCTTTTAGTTGTTAAATTTAAAGTAGAATAAGTCATTGTAGACTTCGTAGTGGCAAATTTGGATTAAAAAGAAAACAATAGATAATCTAGATTGATTTTCTTTTTAACTTTATCCTTACTCCAATGTGTATTAAATTAATGTAAAAGTAAAGTGTGCAATTATTTTATTAATATGTTATGGTTAGTATTTCACTGTTTGATATGAATTCGTATTATATGTACACAGTAAGATATAGATTAGAATTTTTTAATAAAAAAAATCTACTTTTTAGTTTTGCTATTTATTTGTACAAAGTAAATTAAAAGTATTTAATTTCAGATTTATTTTCAAGGGTAAAGGAATAAGTTGTAACAGTACTGTGATTTAAAACTAGCATTTATACTGACAATAATTCCTCTTTTGAACTAATTTCATTATTTGCCTAGTACAACTAAAACATTTAACATATATTTATCAAAAATTTACTCTCACACTTGATTGTGTTTCAAAAGTATCTCACATTACAAGAATGCATCTCATATAAAAGCAACACAGAACACTTGCCACAAGATGAGCTCGTAGTCGTAGCTCAAGCTAGGTTGCGACAAGTCTAATGGTCCATTACCTAATTTAAATATAAAGAGGAGCTTGTATGAAATAGGGAATGATGACGTTTATAACTAAAACGTAATTTATAATTATCCATGCACTCCTTTTACTTTCTACTTTGTCATTATAAACAATATTAAGAACTACAACCGGATATTAAGAATTGTGACTATTTATTGACATAATCAATTACACAAATCAATGTCTCGCTGTCCTGCTTACAGCCTCTTGAGGATTAGAGATCATGTAGGTGCTAAGACAGCTGGTAATCAGGACACCCATGGTGCCTAGAATCTCGTCCATATATTACAACAACTTAACTAAGTTATAAAAACAGTTATGTCTTTAAAATTATATTATATAATAATCAGAAAAATCAGAAACATTTTTCCCCAAAAGTCATTCAAGGACGGCGCAGACATATCAATTAATACATCAATTGAAATGTCTGCGCAGTACTTATATGAGTTGGAAAAAAACCCCTGAAGAGGCTGTCAGCAGGACCAGCGAAATATTGATTTGTGTATTTAATTATGTCAATGAATAGTCATGCATCTTATTACCAAGTTATCGTTCTCAATATCAAAACGTTGTTGGTCTCCATATATTTTGATTTCTACAATAAAATACTAATTATTCATGCAGTCAACACTGTTTTGAGTCTGACAACTACGTATAAAACCTCTAAACGAGTGAGGAGTAAGACCGGAATCAGTTATTGATTCTTGCAATGAGCGAAAGGTACGTTAAAGTAAATCCAAAATGGGGTCGTTTTTGTATAAAACGCATCTTTGTGAAAGAGGCTAGTCCCAGTTCCTTAAATAAATGTATGGCTGGTAGTGATTGATAAAGGCAAGGAAGAGCCCGCGTCCCAATAAAGCCGAAAAAAATCATTGAAAATTTCAATCAAAGATTTTTTACCTAAATCTAACAGTACATTACCCCACTGTTCTGTTAGTTCCAAATCGGATGCTCCAATACCACTAAATAAGCGATTCCTTATGCCAAGTTAAATTAATGTACCAACAGAACAAACTACTCAAAATACATTAGAAAAAGATTCAAACTCTAATACTTCAGAGGCTCACTAAGAGTTATTTATATAAGACTGGGAGTGGACTACTAAATCGCGTCTACTTGGTTAGGAGAGAGCAAGTAAAATGATCCTGTCTGTATTTATTTACAAGTGTATATCTAGCACTTTCCTCAATGTGCAAAATTGAGTGGGCAAAGGTCTTTTTACTCTCTAAGTTTCTTTTTAAACCAGAGATTTCCACTATTACATTGAATATTGACTTCTCTACTATAATAGTAATATCTCTTGGTCAAAATTATCCAAAAAATTTTAGACCAGTACAGATTAATAATAAAACATCTTAAATTCTAACTACACCGGCAACTTATAACTTTAGCCAGAAATCCGTAACTTTTAAGACACATGAGGTGTCTAATTTTTCTGGCAAAAAGATTGTACTCAATTCAAAATCTTCTTTTAGATGCTCAACATACAATCAAAAAACAACGCTGAATCAAACAAATATGACAATAATAATATAAGATAACAACAAAAGCTCAATATACTGCAACTAATCTTTCAAGCTCCAGCTACGCATTTAATCTATATTTATTACCCATTGATCAGAATGATAGGAATCCAGACATTAAATTTTTTTCTTTACTATACCCAGTTACTCAAAAATTTGTTTCGAATTAGAATGTTCGAATTAGAGTTTATCCTATGGCAATAAGGTAACCATTTGAAAGTTAAGATGAAATAGAAGTTTTAGTTAAAGATTGATAGTATTTAGAATGAAGCTTCAATGATTCAAAAAAAAGCTTTACAAGTAGTTGATCTAACTTTTTAAGACTGATGCAATGATACTAAAACTAAAAAACAAAGGGTTTGAGGGAGCCATTTTCAGGTAATTATTTCTGTCATTAAAAAAAAAACAAATAAGTAGGATAGCATAAGTAAAATATTTATAATTTTTTTCCATTATTTAAAATATTTCGTTTAAAAAATGATCTTCGTTCGAATGATTATAATTTCTTAAATTAATTATTCAAACTATGAAATGGGAATGTAACGTCATTCATCGTTCTCAAAAAATGGCGAAAGAATAATTTTTGACATTAAATATTTGTTAAGAAATCAAATTTAAATTTAAAAGTAAAGTTTATGCAATAAATTATAAACATACATATTTTATAAATAATTAAATATTAAATTATATTAACAAACAAACTATAACTGATCAGAGTGTAAATGAAGCAGCATATAAAGATAACAATAAATCTGATGATAAAATATACATAAATTTCCCAACAAAAGTTTTAAACACTTAGAATAATATTAATATCTCAGACTTAAATCATGCAGAAGAATATGATTGAAAGTAAGAGAAATATTTAAATGTAATATGAAAGCAAAACTAATCACGGGGATGAAAATTAAAACTTATAGCTCTAGATAACCTTAAAGACTGTGGTTACAAATTGTTAAAATATAAGAGTAAATTAGAAAGTACTTAATGACTTTGTAATTAATTATATGAAATATAACTGTATGTAATATTTAATTACTTTATATATTACATACATCAAATCCTTATTTGTCAAATGTAACTAATGTTAATACTTGCTTTATTATAACATTGGTATAATAAATTAACTGGAATTATAAATGCAATCAAATACAAAATATCAAGAAATATACCTGGTATGTACACAGTAAGATATAGATTAGAATTTTTTAATAAAAAAAATCTACTTTTTAGTTTTGCTATTTATTTGTACAAAGTAAATTAAAAGTATTTAATTTCAGATTTATTTTCAAGGGTAAAGGAATAAGTTGTAACAGTACTGTGATTTAAAACTAGCATTTATACTGACAATAATTCCTCTTTTGAACTAATTTCATTATTTGCCTAGTACAACTAAAACATTTAACATATATTTATCAAAAATTTACTCTCACACTTGATTGTGTTTCAAAAGTATCTCACATTACAAGAATGCATCTCATATAAAAGCAACACAGAACACTTGCCACAAGATNATTGTAAATGAAATTGATTGTAACTAAGCCTTTATTCTGTTATGACAATAATTACAATTTTTTCTTCATTTTACTAAATTATTCTGAGATGTTATAATTTAAACATAATTTAAACTTCGCGCGATTTTGCCAGTCTGCAGACTGCCAGACTCCATGTAATCTCACCCTAAATGTATATAGTATAACATATCTCAGAATATGGATCAGTCAAAAAGGAAAGTAATAATTTGACAACATTTTATTCTGAATCTAGTTACCTTTCAACTGTAAATACTGTTTAATGGCTTACGAAAATAAATATTCGTGTAGAGTTTACTGAAAAATACATTATAATAAATATTTTCAGTGCAACAAGCGAAAGAAAATGATAAAATACGAAAGGCACTG